TGCTTAGGGACAGCTCCCAGGCTTGAGTTCAAGCCTCAGGAGCAGCACAAAACAAAAAATCAAAGCCTGTTGCCAGTGGCTCAGGCCTGTAATCCTAGCTACACAGATGGCTGAGATATGATTGTGGTTGGAAGGAGTCTGAGCAGAAAAGTCTCCTTGAGAATCTTGTCTCCAAGAAACCACTAAAAACCTGGAAGAGGCGCTGTGGCTCAAGTGGTACAACGCTAGCCTTAAACAAAAAGAGGCCCTGGTACAGTGCCTAGTCCCTGAATTCAAGGCCCACAACTGACCAAAAAAGAAAAAAAAAAGCCACAGCGCCTCTAGCTTAGTGGTAGAGGCTTGCCTACCATGCATGAAGCCCTGGGTTCAATTCCTCAGTACCATATAAACAGAAAAGCCAGAAGTGGCACTGTAGCTCTGGTAGAGTGCTAGCCCTGAGCAAAAGAAAGCTCGAGGACAGTGCCCAGACCCTGAATTCAAGCCCCAGGACTGGCATACACACAAACACACACACACGCACACACACATACACACACACACGCACCCCAAAACAATACTTTTATATTTTTAGTATGTTTTTGGTACCAGTAGTTAATGAATGCCTATAAATTAGTTCATTGATACCAAACATGTTAAATGGTAGATTATACATTTAAAGGAAGAGTCAATGCCTGATGACTCTGTTGATACGTTTTTTTAAACCTGGAGACTAGTAGAATTAATTACCACCTCTTAGATGAGGCAACTTACATGGCTTATATCATACTGTTCACATACTTTTTGGCTTCCATCATACTAAGTGTAGTAACATGCAACTCAGCTGCCACAAATGAGGATGCATTTGAGAGCTATAGAAAGGTGTTTTCTTATTTACTTTACATTTCATCTTAATATAGTCATATATATATTTATATAATCAGCAATGAGATATTTCTTTAAGAAATAAACTGATGTTAGTGCTTCTAACAAGGAACTAAAATTGAGATTTTAGCATATTGAGTGAAATTAAATTTTGAAAAGAAATTGACATCAATCAAAAAATACCTTAGCACAAATATGTTAATACCAGTTTTTGTGTTGTTTAAAAACATGGTTATCCTAATTTTGCCAAATGTACAATGTCATTTAGCCATTATTCCAGACATACAGAATAGTTTCATTCCCCTAAAAAAATCACTTGGGATTATCTTTATTCCTTTCTCTATATCTCACTGTCCTCAAATATGCACATTTTTCACAGAATGTACTATATAGTAGGGATCTTAAAGTATGTAGCTTTTTCAGAGTGCCTTCTTTCACCAAACAATATGTATTTAAATTTAAATTTCCACCTCTTTTTTTTGAGGGGGGGCGGTGAGGGGTGATCATGGGGCTTGAACTGAGCCTGGGTGCTGTCCTCACCTTTTGTGTTCAAGGCTAGCACTCTTCCACTCTGTCAGAGTGTGTCTGCTTTTATGACTTCTCCATTCTACTCTACCTAAAGGAGTGTAAATCTATATATAAGAAATACAGGGGCTGGGAAGGTGGCTCAGTGGTAGAGCGCTTGCCTTGCATGCATGAGGCCCTGGGTTCGATTCCTCAGCACCACATAAGCAAAAAGAAAAAAGCTGGAAGTGGCGCTGTGGCTCAAGTGGTAGAGCGCTAGCCTTGAGCTGAAGAACTGAGGGACAGCGCCCAGGCCCAGAGTTTAGGCCCCATGACCGGACCCAAAAAAAAAAAAAAAAAGAAATATAACTGTTGGGCTGGGAATGAACTTAGTGGTAGAGTGCTTGCCTTGCATGCATGAAGCCCTGGGTTGGATTCCTCAGTACCACATAAATAGAAAAAGCTGGAAGTGGGGCTGGGAAGGTGGCTCAGTGGTAGAGCGCTTGCCTTGCATGCATGAGGCCCTGGGTTCGATTCCTCAGCATCACATAAGCAAAAAGATAAAAGCCGGAAGTGGCACTGTGGCTCAAGTGGTAGAGTGCTAGCCTTGAGCTGAAGAGCTGAGGGACAGCGCTCAGGCCCAGAGCTCAGGCCCCATGACCGGACCCAAAAAAAAAAGAAAAAGCTGGAAATGGTGCTATGGCTCAAGTGGTAGAATGCTAGCCTTGAGCAAAAGAAGCTCAAGGACAGTTCCCATGCTTTGAGTTCAAGCCCCAGGCCTAGGAAAAAAAATAAAAGAAAGAAAGAAAAGAAAAAGGGACTGGGAAGGTGGCTCAGTGGTAGAGTGCTTGCCTAGCATGTATGAGGCCCTGGGTTTGATTCTTCAGCACCACATAAGCAGAAAAAGCTGGAAGTGGCGCTTTGGCTCAAGTAGTAGGGCGCTAGCCTTGAGCTGAAGAGCTGAGGGACACTGCTCAGGCCCAGAGTTCAGGCCCCATGACCGACAAAAAAAAAGAAAAAAGAAAAAAAGAAAACAAATATAACTGCATTCCCGTGTTTATTGCAGCTCTGTTTACAATATCTAAATTGAAATGCTCAACAACAGATGAATGTATAAATAGACAACTTGGTATATATACACCATGGAATATTACACAGGCATAAAGAGAAATGAAATCATGTCATTGTCAGGAAAACTGTTGGAATTTGTTATCGTTCATGATGAGCAAAATAATCTATGCTCATAAAGCCAAATATTTCATGTTTCCACTCATTTATAGAGGCTAGATTTAAAGGATATAAATATACATAGACATTTTTACATATTTTATAATTATACATGTATACATACATAATGAAGAAAATGAAAGATAGGAGTGTAACAACAGTCTATGTTGAGGAAGGGTAGGCACCAGTGGGAGTGGGAAGAACAAAAGGAGATGTAGATACAGGTGAATATAAAAAGTATTTTATTTGCATATATGAGAATAGAACAATAAAATATATTGAAATTGTTTTAGAAGTGTGGAGGAGTATAAAGGAGAGTGATAAAGGGAGTAAGTTTAATTAGAATATATTGTATGCATATTTGGAAATGCCATAATGAATCCCTAATAAAATATGCTAATAATATAAATTATTAAATTAGCATCAGGTGAGGTATGCCTGTCATCTCAACTTGTAGGAGATGACAGAGATATGGAATTTTTAGGCTAGCCTGGGCTATGTAGTGAGACACTGTCACTCAAACTGCACTAAAATAAAATAATAAAAATAACTTTATTGAGTCAGATATAATGGTTTATTCTTATATTTTTAGGACTCAGGAAGCTGAGACAGGAGAATCATAAGTTCAAAATAAGCCTGGACTGCAATGAACTCAAAGTAGGCTGAGATTCATAATGAGACCCAGTCTCAAACCAAAAACAAATCAACAAATATATATATATATATATATATATATATATATATATATGTTGTTGTTGATACACACATACACATATCTCCTTTCATTCTCATGAAAGTAATTTATATGCTAGCATATCTTTTTTTTTGTCAGTTGTGAGGCTTGAACTCAGGGCCTTGGCACCGTCCCTGAACCTGTCTTTGCTCAAGGCTAGGACTCTACCACTTGAGCCACAGCACTACTTCTGGTTTTTGAGTGATTAATTGGAGATAAGAGTCTCAGGGGGACTTTTTCTACTCAGGCTGGCTTCAAACCCTGATCCTCAGATCTCAGCTTCTAAAGTAGATGTGAGCCACCAACACCCAACTATTAGCATATCTTAGTATGTAATGACCCTTAAATGGGGCGGTGTCATTCTTCCTAATAGAGGCATAGAATTCCATTGTGTATATATACCACATTTTCTTGATGCATTCATCTACTGAAGGGCATCTGGGTTGATTCCATATCTTAGCTATCGTTGGACAAATGGGATTGCATGCAGAGCTTCTGCATGGCAAAGGACATAGCTAACAAGACCAATAGAAAGCCCACGGATTGGGAGATATTCACTAGCCATACAATAGACAAAGGCCTAATATCTAAAATATACTTAGAACTCAAAAAATTAAATCCCCCAACAACAAATCCTCAAAGAAACAACCACCCAATTAATAAGAGGGCTAAAGTCTTAAAGAGAGACTTCTCTGAAGAGAAAATAAGAATAGCCAATAGACACATGAAAAAATGCTCAACTTCTCTAGCCATAATAGAACCTACATTTTCCAACGAATATTTTCTATGAAACTCTTTTCTATCTAATCATTAACTCAAGAGATGTTGAATCAGTACTCAAAACACAATAGCAAATCTGATAGGATTAGTGCTTTAGCATGTACATAGAAGCCGACTGGGAGTAGGAGACTACATGTATGACATCTTTAGGCATCTTTTGTAGGGCTAGTTTGGTGGAGACATATTGTTTCGATTTTTCTTTGCTGTGGAAGGGTTTTATTTGACCTTCCATTATGAAGGAGAGTATAGCTGGGTACAGTATTCTTGGTTGATAGTTGTTTGTCTTTAGGGCATGGCATACATCTTTCCAGGCTCTTCTTGATTTAATTGTCTCTGCTGAGAAATCTGAAGTTATTCTGATTGGTTTATCTTTATAGGTGATTGATCTTTTCCCCTGACAGCATTGAGGATCCTTTCCTTAGTCTCAATTGAACCTGTGTGGATTACAATGTGACAGTGGTATGTCCTATTCTGGTCTGGTTTACCTGGCATTCTAAAAGCTTCTTGTATCTGAATAGGCCTATCTTTTTGCATGTTTGGAAAGTTCTCTGCTAGGATTCTGCTAAATAAATTTCCTAGACCTTTAACTTCTGCCTCTAGGCCCTCCTCTACACCTATTAGCCTTAAATTTGGCCTTCTGATGGTGTCTTCTAAACGTTGAATAGATGTATCATATTTCTTGGATTTGTCTTGAATCCTTGTCTGTTCTTTCTCTATAATGTCTAGGCTGTCTTCAGTCCCAGAGATTTGATTTTCTGCATGGTCTAACCTACTGTCAAGACTTTCTACTTTGTTTTTTATTTTTATTTTCCTTCTAATTGGTCAGATTTGATGGCTTCAAATTCTTTGTTGGAGCTTTGTTTTAGATCTTGTATGGACTTCTTTACCTCCTTAATTTGGTTTTCAGTGTTCATTCTCAAATCCTTTAGTTGATAGGTTATAGTTTCATTGGACTCCCTTTCCTTCTGTCGGGATTCATTCAGCATTCCCTTTGTGGCCTCCATCGATTCCCCCAGCTTTCCGGCTGTAGATTCCATGAATACTTCTATTTATCTTTGTTTATTCTCAGCCATTCACCCAATTTTCTCTATTAATCTTTGGTTAGCCTCCTCATGCTCATGAAATTCCTGTACTAATATTTGGTTAGCCTCATCATGCTCATGGATTTTCCTATCACGCTCACACAGAGTCTTTTGCAGGCTTTCAATCTTTTCATTCAGCATGTTTATCAGTAGTGTTTGTAGAGTACTTTGGGAACTCTACTCTGGATTATTCGCTACTCTGTTGCCTGATTATCATTACGGAGAGTTGAGATACCTGGACTTGCCATTTTTATTGGGTTTCTCTGGATTGTTCTGCACATTTGGGTACGAAAGCAGAACCAACTTTGTGCTAGAATACTATTTTAAGGCTAGAATCAACCAGAGCTCTGTAGTTGCCCCGATTTTTTGATGCAGTCAAAATGAGTCCAGATACAATCTAGTCCAACAGATACAATCTTGTTCAGTAACAAACATCTAGGGATCAATGGACTAAGAAAATCAAGAAGACCAGAAATTAATAGGTTTAGGAAGAATTATGAGGAGAAAATAAGATTAGAGGAATATGGGGAGGGAAAGCAGGAGAGGGAATATAACCAAGACCTAAATTCAGAGAGAGGAAAAGAATAGAAGGAAAAGAGAAGAGAAATAAAGAAAAATGAAAAATTAAAAATTAAAAAAATTAAAAATGAGGGCTGGGAAGGAGGCTCAGTGGTAGAGTGCTTGCCTTGCATGCATGAGGCCCTGGGTTTGATTCCTCAGCACCAATTAAGCAGAAAAAGTCAGAAGTGGTGCTGTGGCTCAAGTGGTAGAGTGCTAGCCTTGAGCTGAAGAGCTGAGGGACGGTGCCCAGGCCCAGAGTTCAGGCCCCACAACCGCAAAAAAAAAAAAAAAAAATTAAAAATGAAACACTTAAAAATTATGTCAGTATAAAGAAATAATACTACAATTAAGGGAGTTAAAGCTGAGAGTTTGTGAAGTGAGTAATCAATATCTGAATTAAGTATGCACACAATGAAGGCTAGGGTCTAATAATTGAAGGTGAGTATAAATCTGGGGATGAACAGAACTAGCAATTACGTAAAGCAAAACAAACAAAAAAAACCCAAACCCCAAACCCAAAAAGGACCAAAAGGGAAAAGAGTAAAAAGAGAATTTAAAAAACAACCTAAAAAAATGATGCAAAAAATAGAAAACAATTTTTTAAAAAAGTAGGTAGAAAAAAGTTCTTTGATATTTTTTTTTTGCGGGGGGGGAGTGGGGGATCTTGTGTCTCCCCTGTGTCCATAACCAGTCTCTTGGTGGAATCTCTGGTTTGCTTGTGGTGTTTTATTTTCCTGTGCCTTGATTAGTTCCTTCCTTCCTTCCTTCCTTCCTTCCTCCCTTCTTCCCTGCCTCCCTCCCTCCCCCCCCCCCTCTCTCTTTCTTTCTTTCTTTTTTCATCAATCCTGGGCCTTGAACTCTGGGCCTGGGCGCTGTCCCTCAGCTCTTCAGCTCAAGGCAAACACTCTACCGCTTGAACCACAGCACTACTTCTGGCTTTCTAGTGTTTTATTGGAGATGAGTCTCACAGACTTTCCTGCCAGGGCTGGCTTTTCACCATGATCCTCTGCTGCCCGGCTTTGATTGGTTTCTTAAATCAGTTTGCTTGAGCAAGCAGAATGAAGCTCTGCTTTACCCAGGACTTTGTGATCCTCCTCCCAGGCTAGTTCAGTGGGAGGGTGATCTGCTTTGAGTATCACAAAAGAGGGAGATGGCTGTTTCCTCTAGCTTGGAGTTGGTGTGATGAGGCTAGGTTGTGGGTAGAATTGAGACCTGCCAGCAATCAGTAGCTTTTCCCTGAGAAGCTGGCTCCTGAGACACTCACACAGCCCCATCTGTAGCCATTCTGAGGATTTATTTTTACTGAGTTTCCAGTTATTTTTCTTCTATCCTCTGCCAGCTGGGTTTGCTGCCTGTGATACAGTGGGTTGGGATAGCTTCTGGCTCTGTTTACCCAGTGAAGAAAGTCACTCCTCCATAGAGGGAGCTCCCTCTGCGTGGAAAAGGCAACTTTTCCCTGGGGTGGAGCTTAGATTCACAGGTCAAATTCCTTTGGCCTGTTAAATGGTTCCTACTGTCTTCTTCCAAGGCCTGAGTTATGGGCTAGCTGCTCTGGCCAGGGTCTTTGTCAGTATCAAAGATGGAGTTCTCTAGTGGTGTGGGAGGGACTACCTTCCCACCACTGCTCTGTAAAAAGAAGTAAGGATGTCTTCTGTGGTACTCATGGCTTTCCCTTGGTTTCCGGGCTGTCCATGGTCTGAGACTATCTATAGTCAGCAGGATGAAGATTTCTGCTTGTGGGTTCTTGCTGGCGGTGAGTAGAGCCTGCTCGTATAAGGCTTCTGGTGCCTTTGTCTCAGGCTCTCTCTGTTGATATGGTGTTTGCAATAGCACTGGCGAGTGCTCAAATCTGTCTCCTTAACCAAGCTGCCTGAATTTTTCTGCTCTGGCCAAACTTTCTGTACTATGATGGCACACTTGGTGTGACTCTCTAGCCTTGGACTTTTCAATGGAACACTAAAACTGGTTTCTACACAAGAGCTTGTTTAGCCTCTAGCTTTTCCTCTGCCATCTTCCTCCTGATTCCCCTATTCTGTTTTGTGTATTCTTCATCTTAATTATGTCAGTTACGTCTAAAGTTCACACCTCTTTCCATTTTGACCACAATTATTTTGGTTTCACCTAGTTTTATGGCTAGATGACCTCATTATCTCCTCAGTTTCTTGGGTCACATTTCTCAGTTTGTAAAATGAAAAAATTGACTACATAGGGTCTTGGGTCTGCAGAAACCCACCAGTAATATGAGATCAAGAAGAGGTCAGCAATGATTTTTTTAAGGAAGTCAAAATTGTTTGAATATTGAAGAATGAGTTGGAGGACTTTCCTGAGTGAACAAGAATGTTCCAGGAAGATAAAGTAGCATTTGTAGTGTTTTGGAAACATGAAAGCTTAAATGTGTAGAAGGATAAGCTTAGTATGATACATGTCTACAATCTGAAGGACTGGAAGGGAGCAAGGAATGATGAGAGATAAAATTACAAAAGATGTGGATTGGGGAGGGTGAAATGGCTTCTTTTATGCTACCTTTTTGCATCCATTATATACACTATAGAGAACTATGAAATGTATTTACAAAGGAGAATGTATGGAATCTATTTAGGAAAATATGTTAGTGGTGATACTTAGGTCAAATTAGCATAAAGGGACTTGTGGAAAGATTGTAATTGTTATTCTAAGGTGGAACAGTGGCAGTATGAAGGAGAAAGGGCTGGATTTGAAAAACACTACCTTGAATTTGGTGTTAGATTGGATTTGGAAAATTGATGAGAAAGAATCTTATAGTTTAGATACCATTTGAATTCCATTTGTTGTTAGTCAATGTTATTATAACCTGAATTCAAAAGAGATTCCAAGACACTCAGTTAAAGGAGCTAGGAACTATATTTTAGCTGTGTGGGGACTGAATCCAATTATCAGGAAAGTAGGAGAATGGCTCCAAACTCAGGGTAGGATGGGTTTTTATAGGGGTAGGTTACATAAGCGGGCTATGCAAGGCTTTGTTATAGAAATAGCCCTAGCTCTCTTAGGACCTCCTCAAAATTGTATAGTATAAGGCAGTAAAGCCACTTAATTATAAATTTATCCTATCATTATTTTATGAGCTACTCCAAGGTTCCCTATAGGATGTGCCATCTTTTGATGCAGTAACTTAGTAACTGATTTTGTCACTTAAAAAAATTCATAACTATTAGAGAAACCAGAAAGGCACATTTAAAACCATGAAAAATACCAGCACAAGAGATGAAGAGCAAGGAGAAATTTCATAATCTGTTATTTAAGGCTTCCAACTTTTAGTTTTGTACTGTGCACCCATTTGTATTCTCTCAATTTTTCAGTGACTATAATTGTTAATAACAGAACCTGGCTTTGAATCCCAACTTCTCAATGCATTGACAGTTAATAATACCTAATTTTACTTCCTTATTGTTCAGTGATATTTTTTGTGGTGTTACTCTGAGGACTACATGAGTTAATAAAGTGTTTCTGCCACATAATGAGCATCATTCGATTATTTCTTTGTTTTTTCTCTTTTGTCAGTTGTGGGGCTTGAACTCTGGGCCTGGGCACTGTCTCTGAGCTCTTCAGCTCAAGGTGAGTACTCTACCACTTAAGCCACAGTGCCAATTCCGGTTTTCTGAGTGGTTTTTTTTTTTTTTTTTTTTTTTGGAGTCTCACAGGCTTTCTGCTTGGGCTGGCTTTGAACCGTGATCCTCAGATTTCAGCCTCCTGAGTAGCTAGGATTATAGGCGTGAGCCACCAGTGCTGGCTCATTCAATTATTTATATGTGTTGAAGTGAAAACATAATGTTATAAGTACAATGGCATGCTCCAAAGTACTAGCAATATAATCTTAATGTCTTCATTATTTTGGATAGAGAAGAAATATACATATATATATTTATATTCTTTAGTATTAGAACTCCCCTCCCTTCCTTCCTTCCTTCCTTCCTTCCTTCCTTCCTTCCTTCCTTCCTTCCTTCCTTCCTTCCTTCCTTCCTCTATTTCTCTCTCTCTCTCTTTTTTTTTTTGCCAGTCCTGGGGCTTGAACTCAGAACCTGGGCACTGTCCCTGAGCTTCTTTTGCTCAATGCTAGCATTTCAGCCACAACACTGCCTTTTCTCTTTATATGGTACTGAGGAATCCAACCCTGGGCTTCATGCATGTTAGGTAAGCACTCTACCACTAAGCCACATCACCAGCCTAAAGCTATTCTTATTATAAGAATATATTAATAGTGGTAGCATTTATAATAAGGAAAATATGACTCATCATCACTCCAGAAAATTGTAGAATTGAGTTAGCGATAGAAATAGCTACAATTAGCCGGGCGCCTGTGGCTCACCCCTGTAATCCTAGCTACACAGGAGGCTGAGATCTGAGGATCACGGTTCAAAGCCAGCCCAGGCAGGAAAGTTTGTGAGACTCTTATCTCTAATAAACCACTAGAAAAATGGAAGTGGCGCTGTGGCTCAAGCGGTAGAGCACTTGCCTTGAGTTGAAGAGCTCCGGGACAGCACCCAAACCCAGTGTTCAAGCTCCACAACTGACCAAAAAAAAAAAAGAAAAAAAGAAAAGAAAAGAAATAGTTAAAATTGAGCCAGAGCTGGTGGCTCACGCCTGTAATCCTAGGTAATCAGGAGGCTGAGATCATTGTGGTTTAAAGCCAGCCCTGGCAGGAAAGTCTATGAGTCTCTTATCTCCAATAAAACACCAGAAAACTGGAAGTGGCGCTGTGCTTAAGTGGTAGAGCCCTAGTCTTGAGCTGAAGAGCTGAGGGACCATGCCCAGGCCCAGAGGTCAAGCCCCACAACTGACAAAAAAAAAAAAAAAAAAGAAATATCTACAATTGGGATATATTATTCTGATCTCCTAAGCCTAAGCCTAAGTGGAGAATCTGAAGCAAATAGTTCCTTTGGGGCAGAAATTGCCTGAGACTTTGGGAATGTAGATCTAACATAATCATTCCACGTGATGATCTACTTCTGGACCAGGATGTTTATTCTTTATAAGAACTGGACATTTCTGGCCATTCTCATATTTTATTTTTTAATATTTTTCTCTTCACTTGAAGTAGCCTTGTGATTAGGTGAAACCTTAGTCCTAATCTCAGTAGTAGTTCTGATCCCAAGGATCAGATCACACCTTATTCTAGGGCTATCAGTGCTTCAAAAACCCTAAGGTGATTCTATCAATTGCCCTAAACTTCTGACCATTTCTTGAAGATTCTCTTTTACTAAGATAATGTAGATAACCATTCTCCATTTATTTGTAATCTTAATGGGAATGGTACTATTTTATACTTGATTCACAGCTTCTTGAAAAAGACCATAATCCATATTTATCTTACTACAGGGAAAAATACTCTCTTTCTGCAAAGGCCAGTGCAGATAGTGCTATCCACATATGAAGTGCTCCACCTTTGGCTACTGGCTTACAACTACTTTGACTGAACAAATAAACAAAAATAAAACATCTTGTTTAATATGCACCAATGAACTTGGACTAATGCCACACTCAAGTGTTCACAAAGGGACCTCATAAGAAGAAATGTTACTGCAATGTATATCTTATTCAATGACATCTCGTAGTATTATCTTGAGAGAATTCCTTTTCTTTCTTTTCTTTGTTTCTTTGTTTCTTTGTTCCTTCCTTCCTTCCTTCCTTCCTTTCTTTCTTTCTTTCTTTCTTTCTTTCTTTCTTTCTTTCTTTCTTTCTTTCTTTCTTTCTTTCTTTCTTTCTTTCTTTCTCTCCCTCTCTTTATTTTCTTTCCTTCCCTCCCTCCCTTCCTCCCTTCCTTCCTTCCTTCCTTCCTTCCTTCCTTCCTTCCTTCCTTCCTTCCTTCCTTCCTTCCTTCCTTCCTTCCTTCCTTCTTTCTTTTTTGTCCTGGGGCTTGAACTCAGAGCCTGAGCTTTTTTTGCTCAAGACCAGCACTCTACTGCTTGAGCCACAGAGCCACTTCCAGCTTTTTCTGTTAACCTAGTACTGAGGAATGGAACCCAGGGCTTAATACATGCTAGGTAAGCACTCTACCACTAAGCCACATTCCCAGTCTCTCCTTTCCTTTTCCTCACTTCTTTCATATGACCTACAAAGATTCTGAGGTTATTCTTTACAACTATAACTCTCATTTGAGCTAGAGGAATATTTAACCTTTACATTTGCAAAATTTTTAGTATGGCATGCATATATACATATTTTCTCTTATGGATATAAACATGCATGTAGGCACATACAAGACCATATGTGTAGTATCTCTATATCTACAGAGATAGATCATAGCTGCAGAGATTTCTAAATTATTAAAGGTGTACAGTTTACAACCTTGTATAGCCATCACTCCAGTCAAGAAACAGTATTATTCCACAAATCTAGAAGATTGGCTTGTTTCTTCCTCTTATTTTTACCTTTTCCCTTCCAAAAGCAAGACATTTAACTCTAGGTTTTTTTTTTTTGGAACCTAGGCTGGGTTTACTTGAAAGTTACAGCTGAGGTAGCAATGGCTGACACAATGGCTGACAAACTAGAGACTGAGCCACTGTAGTATTTTTTTTTAAAGGTTGTTCTTAATGTTCAGAGTTCTAGACAAAACTTCATTCTACCTATAGGTGGCAGAAATGTTACAACAGGAAATCCAGATGTTGAATGGGAATGGAATCAAGGGTCACCATCATCTCAGGGACAAGGAACAGCTTACTTTTTGCCAGATTTCTTAATTCCACCTGTGGTGAGGGGTCTCTTCCCCTCAGCCTTCGCTTTCAGTTCCTCGAGTTTCTTCTGCTTCTCTTTCTGTTTCTGCTTAAAGGCCTTGTCTTCCTCATCCATCTCCTTGGCCTGCTTCTTGGGCTGCTTCAGGGGCTTCTTCTTGCCACCTTCGAGGCCAGACATGATGCATGAAGTATGTCTCTCTCTCTCTCTCTCTCTCTCTCTCTATATATATATATATATATATATATATATGGGTGGGTTTTTTTTTTTGCCCATTAAAAGAACCTTTTACAGTTTGTCCAAAGCCAGAAACCTTTTCTATGGTTATTTTCCCCATCTGTTTAGAATTCTCATCCACATTGCATTGATGCCTCATCTAATCAAATAAGAGAATGTCTCAAGAAATGTGCTCCATAAACTACTTAATTTTCTGAAATACTCATTGCCAGGAACTTAATGAGAAGCCATTAAAACCTTTATTGGTTACAAGTTCCTCTCAGGAATCTATTTCTCAGAGTTCTAAGTGCATGCATGCTGCTGTAGATACTTTTTTTTTTTTTTTTTTGTGGGGCCTGAACTCTGAGTCCAGGTGCTGTCCTTCAGCTCTTCAGCTCAAGACTAACGCTCTACCACTTGAGCCACAGTGCCACTTCTGGCTTTTTCTGCTTATGTGGTGCTGAGGAATCGAACCCTGGGCCTCAGTGCATGCAAGGCAAGCACTCTACCACTGAGCTACCTTCCCAGCCCCTGCTGTAGATTTTAAAAAATAATTATCTTTTTCTTTTCTTTATCTTCCTCCCTCCCCCTCCTCCCCCTCCTCCCCCTCCTCCCCCTCCTCCTCCCCCCTCCTCCCCCTCCTCCTCCTCCTTCTTCTTTTGCTGAACTTGGGGCTTGAAGTCCAGACTTGGATGCTGTCCCTGAGCCTCTTTGTGCTTAAAGGCTAGCACTCTACCATTTGAGCCACACAGACTTTCTTGCCCGGGCTGGCTTTGGCCACAATCCTCAAATCTCAGCCTCTTGAGTAGCTAGATTTACAAGTGTGAGCTACTGGTGCCTGGCTAATATTTTTCTTTTATTATCATTTAGGTCAGAGTTCTTGACATGTATGTAATATACTTTATATCACCAGGTTCTGAACTCATGGCCTTACATTGACATTCAGGTTGAGGGCTATAGACAGCTTGTGGAATTTTGACTGGCTGCCTTCTTAATGTTTTGTTTTTCTTTTTTTTGGGGGGGTCTGGTCCTGGGGCCTGAACTCTGGGCCTGGGCTCTGTCTCTCAGCTCTTCAGCTCAAGGCTAGCGCTCTACCACTTGAGCCACAGCGCCACTTCCGGCTTTTTTCTTTTTGCTTATGTGGTGCTGAGGAATCGAACCCAGGGCCTCATGCGTGCAAGGCAAGCGCTCTACCACTGAGCCACCTTCCCAGCCCAATGTTTTGTTTTTCTAATCACTGTTATTTAAGAATTATTTAACACAGTGTTCTGTCTTAACGAAAGTTTATGACTTGTGATCATTCACAAGTTTCCTCTATCCAGCGTCAATTCTATCACCTTGAGAACTTACTATAGTTGTTTATGTAACTGCTGTGTGAGATATGCATCATATTCACTTAAGAACAATCCTAAAAAGAACATTGGTTAAACCAGTCATTGCTGAAGCTGAGCATCATCATGTTTTCCATTTTCTCACCCTAACTATTTTCTAATCCAGATGAGAGAAAATACACATCAACTTGGGAACAAAAAGGTCACAATAGCATCATCTCCAAACTGGATGCTGAAATGCTACTATGCATAATAAAGCATCAATTCCCTTTCTCTAGTTGTAAATCCAACAAAGTAACATTTGTGAGACTGAAGTATAGCTGTCAGTTTTTGAGAGTTATGAAGTCACTCTTGCACAAGAAGTAGGAAGTTTCTTTAAATAGGAAGCTGTGATTCTGAATGTCTTATTCTTCTAAACCAGCACTTCCCAGTAGTTTTTTCTGCATTCACAACAATGTCTTGTATTTGTACTGTGCAATACAATAGTTATTAAACAAGGAGGCTGTTGAAAAATTGAAATGTGGCCAGTGGAATTCAGGATATAAAAATATAATGTTAGCGGTTGGGAAGGTGGCTTAGTGGTAGAGTGCTTACATTGCATGCATGAGGCCCAGGGTTCGATTCCTCAGCACCATAGAAGCAGAAAGAAGCTGGAAGTGGCACTGTGGTTCAAGTGGTAGAGAGCTGGCCTTGATCTGAAGAGCTTGAGGGACAATGCCCCGGCCCAGATTTCAGGCTCATGACCGACCAAAAAAAAAAAAGTAATTTATTTAACTTTTTAATTTTTTTTTTTTTGCCACTCCTGGGGCTTAAACTCAGGGCCTGGGCACTGTCCCTGAGCTATTTTTGCTTAAGGCTGGCACTCTACCACTTGAGCTACAGCACCACGTCTGGTCTTTTATGTTTATGTGGTGTTGAGGAATCAAACCCAGGGCTTCATGCATGCTAGGCAAGCACTCTATCACTAAGCCACATTCCCAGCCCTTATATAATTTTAATAAACATAAGTAGCCTCAGGTGGTGGCTGCTATGTTGGGCAGCACCATTTTAGACTGTGACTTTATTCTAGCCAAGAAATAATCCTTAATATGAAGAATGATGGACTAAACTGACTTGGATATTTACTTTGGAGTCAGGAAATATTTATAGGAAATTAATATTGTTCAGTGAATCTCATACTTCACTTTCACAGATAAATTTTTCTAAATAAAGTATTCTTTAACCTAAGACAGAGAAATAGTTTATGTCATAGGAGACTAGGACAAAATCAATTTGTGGCAGGACTATTGTCTCTGAATGTATTAATGAAGAATTAGTTCTGTGCCCCTTTCTTAGCAATTTTTCAGAAATTTTTGGCTTCAAAACATTATTAACATATTTGGTAATAATGTTACTTACACATATTATAAAATATTAAACATGTATGTTCATATAATACAGGTATGTATATTATATAAACATATAAATAATATTGCTTAAATGTATTATTTAACCATATTATGTAACATATTTGTTACAACTTTGTGGAGTGGGCATTTTAAAATGATAAACGCTTATTTAAGTTAAAAGTAGGGAGGTAAAAATACATATCTGTTTTTGTAGAGATGGATATATTTAGTGTGCAATAAACAAGGAAACTATCTTCTTATTGTCTAAATATAGATTATACAAACTCTTGTAAGTTTATTTGTTGAATTTTTAGGTCTCTTAAAATCACATTCTCATTACTTTTTGTCTGATAGCAAAATATTTTTCTTCCCTTAGTCCTTATGTTTTTAATAGTCTTTCTCCTTATAAGAGCTGGATATGACTTTTACTGTCAATGTATTCCATCCATACCAAACGAATTCCACCATCATCTAAAACTGGAATAAAAAATTATCTTGGCTGAAGTCTACTTCTGGCTTCTGGAGTAGTTTCTAGTTTTGAGGTTTTCATGGTTCTGTTTGTACTATTTAAGAAAAATGACTGAATATGGCAGTCCACCAGAGAATGTTCTTTATGTTCTGGAAGTTTTATTGTGAATCTGACCAAGGAAGGTCCTGTATTTTAGGTTTATATAAATAAAGAAGAACACATTGAGACTTACTCTGAGTCTGCTTGCTTGTATGGTTAGTAATTATCTGGATTTTCACTCGGGCTTCCCTATTGATGAAAAAATAAGCACTACAGGTCAAAGACAAAGATTTTGATGCAGAAAAGGTGTTAATTGAGAAGGACCTGGAAAGACATTTAGAATATTAAGTTGAAGTCAAAAACTTTTTAGTCAAATAGTTCACATAAGTATTCATCTGTTCTCTGTAGTGGCAACTAAGGAGTGGAAATTTGTGATGTTTTGAGTGAGACTTCACTGGGGTAGAATCCTGATTCTGCCACAATGGTGCTGTATGACTTGGAGCCTCAGTTTCCTTGTTTTTAAGCCAAATTCAGAAGGACAAGGGGCACATTCTTTCTCATATGTTACCATAAGACCTAAAATGTGAACATACATGAAAATACACACAAAATCATAAGTATGTATGTGTATGTGTATACATACATATGATCTAACTGACTGAAGTAGGCATATGCAGGAGTGAGATCCCAAGGTGTAACTCTTTTGAACAATTAACAGGCAGATTAACAAAAAGAAGCTTTAAAACATGTCTATTGGGAGGTGAGGGTGCTAGTGAAGGGGAAGACAAATGTGGGCAAATATGATTATATACTGTGTATATACATGAAAGTGGAACAAGAAAGCTTGATGAGGCTGTTGTGGGAAGGGGGAGAATGATAAAGTGACTTTGGTTGAAATGATTGTATATATTAATGAAGATGTTCAAATAAATTCCCTTTGTATATTGTTTGGGGATCATTTAAAAATACCCCCTTCACAATGTTAATAGGATAACATTTTTGACATGTAGTGAACCTAGTTGTCAATATGTGGTAGATATTAGTATTTATCTTACCTAAGCTAGTACTATATAATAGGTTTCATCTTTCACATTCTCTTGGATATTTTTTCTTTTTCTTTTACTGCCATAAACCTTAGTGTTTTCAGAAGCATGTTAGAGATAGGCAAACAATATCCCCATAATAATAGTGTTATAGAAACACATGTTTTTATAGTTTACAGAGTTTTTGTTAATATTAACTAAGATCAGTTCTGTGGTCCTATTTTGACAGGCCTGTAGCAAATATGTAGTTCATTAACTTTAAACAAAATCTTTTGCTGAAAACTCTGAAAAATGAATACCATGCCTTTAATCTTGGCTACTTAATTTAGGCTGAGGTCTGGATGATCATAGTTTGAAGCCAATCTGAGCAGCAGCAAAGTTCTCTAGACCTTATCTCCAAAATAGCCATGCTAAAAATAAGGCTGGAGGCATAGTTCAAGTGGTAGTACCAGTTGAACAAACAAGTTAAGCAAAGTAGGACCATAGAACCAACAGAATAAAATAAAATACTTGACGGTCTCATGTTTTATATGTAAGGGAGAATAAATAATCCCTGTAAGTTTTTTTCTTTTCTTTTTCTTTTCCTTTTTTATTTTATGTTATTTATTTATTTGCCAGTCCTGGTGCTTAAACTCAGAGCCTGATCACTCTCTGAGCTTCTTTTGCTCAAGGTTAGCACTCTATCATTGAGCCACAGCGCCACCTCCAGCTTTTTTTTTGTTTGTTTGTTTATGTGGTACTGAGAAAAGGAACCCAGGGATTCATGCATACTAAGCAAGCACTCTAGCAGTAAGCCACATTCCCAGCCCCTCTGTAACTGTCTTGAGAAGCGAGTGCTTTGAATGTCTATCTGTGCCTTGTTTTTAGCAGACTCTTTGTAAATGCTTGTTAAATTGAATTAGACTGCCATTCATGTAAATTTTGTGCTTAATTGAACACAGTGTATTTTGTTCATGGTTGCTTGCATTTGTTGTATATTTTTTGCCAAAAATATAAAATTATATATCTACACATTTTCCTCATTATGCATTATTTTCAGTGTCTCAAAACTTGTAATATATTGCTAGGTGCTTGTAATAATCCTAGCTACTCAGGAGGTTGAGATATGAGGATTGCTGTTTGAAGCTAGCCTGGGCAGGAAAGTCTATAAGACTCTTAGCGCCAAGTAACCCCAAAAAGCCAATGGAGCTGTATGTCAAATGATAGAGCGCTAGGTTTGAGCAAAAAAAATCTCAGGGACAATGCCCACTCCCTAAATTCAAGCCCCAGGACTGGTGCTCACAAGCGCGCACGTGCGCATGCGCACACACACACACACACACACACACACACACACACACACACACACACACACACACACACACACACACACACACACACACACACCCCACACACGGGAAAAAACGAAAAAAAAGCAACCTATAATATAGGCTTGACACTGTGTCTGGCTTGTACATAACACTCCTATCTATTTGGAAGGCCACATTGGGAGGATGGTAGGCTAAGGCCAACTTAGGAAAAATGTTTGAGAGACCCTTACCTCAACCTATAAAAGCTATATTTGGTGGTATACCCTTCTCATCACAGCAACTTAGAAAGCATAAATAGAATGACAGTAGTCCAGATGGGGCCAGAAATAAATGTGAGACTCTACTTAATGAAAACTAAAATGGAGCAAAGGGCTAGTAGCATGTTTCAAGTGGTAGAGTGCCTGCCTAGCAAACTCAGGCCTCGAGTTCAACCCTAGTAGTGGCAAAAACAAAAATAGAAAGTTGCAGTGGGTAATCTGATATAATAAGGAGATAAATTATAAATAATGTATGTATAATTAAATAAATTACACAAAAGAATTTGCTCCATTAATTTGGGTATATGACGTTAGGGGCATTGAAGTTGATTAAATTCCATTTCAGTGACTCTGGTAAAGCACCAGTGTTGTCATGTTCTGAGTAATGATTTTGTGGTTTGTTGCTGATCCAATGTCAGTGAACTGTTAGTTCTATGATAGTCGGCATAGCCAACATTTATTGCAATCCTTGATAATGACAATGCTGTTTAATTCCTAGTTGTGGTATACACATTGCAAGTGTGTAAAGAGACAAACCACCAACCAGGCCATAGTTGAACAACATCCTGAATAATGATTAAAATGAAAAGAGCACAGTATTTTTTAACTTAAGTTTTATATGATAAAAATAAATGTGATAAAAGATTTGAGGACTACTTGTTTATGTATTATCCATATCTTTGAAAATTATTATATCATTCAATGTTCAGTGGAAATAAGTGGAAAACATATGTGTTCCTAATTTATATGAGAAAGAAAATTCTTTTTATTGTTGTGCTGGGTATTGAACCTAGGGTTTTTATATATACTAGCTCTCACTTGAGCTATATATACCCAGTTCTCTGGTTTAGTTTTAGAGACAGGTCTTACCACTAGCTTTGCCCAGCATGCTCAGAACTAGTGATCCTCCTTTATCTGTCTCCTGAGTATCTGGAATTGAGAAAAGGAACACTTCTTTTGAATTGTTAGATATCTTGTGTTTCCTTTGACACTTAACTCACTACAATGGAATTTTGTTGCAGTATTTGGAAAGCCTTAAAAGTAACTGAAATATTATGTATCCCAGTTGCCTCTTTCTCACTGTGCTAGACCATTAAAACATAATGAGAGTTTAATGGGTCCACGGAGTGAGTGTGTTTTGAAACAGAAAGGAAAGGGATTTCTAAGACTAGACTCATCCATTGAAGACTGCCTGTTCATAGTCCATCATCATTCAATTAGAGCCACAGTAATCATAACACATAAAATAACTATTTTAGTGCTTTTAGGTTGACAGAATATGCAGTATGGTCTCTGCCTTCTGTCATTAATTATGATTTTTGTAAATTAATAGTTAACACTTGGATAATTGTTGTTTTTTAACCTCTTGACTTGTTGCTTTAAAAAATTTCAATCCTACCATTAGTTGAAATAAAGTGGGCTAGCCTCACTTTTCTCTCTAAAAAAACCCTCAAAACCCCCAAACAAGAAAAACAACAAAAACACAGCTGAAGAAAATCTAACAGTATAAAACAGGGAAATCAAAGAATTCATGTTTATTATTTGTTTTTTGAACTTTTGGCCTGAGTGCTGTCACTGAGCTTTTATGTTCAAGTCTAGTCCCTACCACTTGAGCCACAGTTCCACTTCTGTTTTTTTATGGTTAGTTGGAGATAACAGTCTATGAACTTTGCTGCTAGGCAGGCTTTGAACCTCAATCCTCAGGTCTCAGCTTCCTGAGTAGCTCAAGTTACAGGTATGAGACACTGGCGCCAGGCTTATTTTATGTTTTTTTTTTTTTTTTTTTTAAATTTGTTTTGGGTTTTTCTTTTTACTTGATTTCCTTTTGTTTTCTCTAGATGAATTTCATATCACACACCTTTGAGTTATAAGAGGCTTAGCAATAATGGAGTCTGCCTACCTTGTAGTGTGCAAAGAAATTAAATGGTTTTCAGAAAGTTATACCTAGTTAGTGGCAGACTGAAGACTAAAAGAGTATAGATTTAGGACTTTTGAAGAATATATATATATTTTTTTTTTGGGGGGGGGAGTTCAGTCATGGGGCCTGAACTCTGGGCCTGGGTGCTGTCCCCCAGCTCTTCAGCTCAAGGCTATTACTCTACCACTTGAGCCACAGCGCCACTTCTGGCTTTTTTTTTTTTTTTTTTGCTGCTTATGTGGTGCTGAGGAATCGAACCCAGAGCCTCATGCATGCAAGGCAAACGCTCTACCACTGAGCCACCTTCCCAGCCCTGAAGAATATTTTAATAGGTGTTCATATTGGCTTAAGTATCACTTTTAATCTATATGTGACTTTTTAATATTTATACATTTATAGATGTTTTTCCCTTATTAGATGAGTGCTAAGACAAGTGAATTATCTCATTTCCTGATTCTACACATGTGGAGACTGTTAGTAGTAACTTGCAAAAGTCACATAACTAGACCTTTTTTGCTTTTTCCTTTTTTCCTTTTTTTTCTATTGGGTAGTCAGCCATTTAGACTCCAGTCATAATTACCTTACATTTGAAATAGATAATACTTCTAACCAAAGAATATTTTATACGATTATTTTCAGCCCTGGAAATCAAAACCTCTAGATTAAGATGGGAAACATTTATATCACAACATTTTCAGACATGGGTTTTTTTTTGTTTGTTTTTGTTTTAGTTTGGTTTTTGGTTACAAGCCATTGTAGTATATTGGGGAAATCTGTGTGAAGGTATATATACTTTGCAAGCTTTAGGTATGATCTCAATTTAACTTGAATTTAAAATGATGGAAGTGATATCGAAGAGCCTAAAAGTTATTGTCATAGGGATGTTTAGTTTGGAAAGTTGAACATATTAAAGATTATAACATGAAAAACTGATTAGACTTTGGCATAACTCTAGAATGCATAGCTAGAATCTATGGGTAGGTATTACAAATTGGTGCAACACCAGGAAGGGCTTATTATATAAAAGAATGTTTTCTCATCAAATGACTCTATTATGTTAAAGTTTGAATAGTAATAGAACAAGGCATCCTCCTAATTGTTTTGGAGATAATTAGTATGGTTAATTTTCTTATAAAATAAAGGTTCATTATAAAATATGGAAGGGGTACAGAGAGAGGCAATTGTTAGTGGAGAATAGAAAACTGTACTTCTATCTCTGGTAAGGGCTTAATTTTTTTTTCTTCTAATTCTGGTGTTTCTCAGGGCCTCATGCTTGCTAGGCAGGTGCTCTATCACCTGAGCCACATACTCAGCCAAGGAGAAAATTTAACTCTTTTTTGTCATACTAGGGTTTGAACTCAGGGCCTTGCACATTCTAGATAAGTATTTTACTTGAGCCATAACTCCAGCCTTTGAATAGTTCTTGATTGAAAAGACCGGAGCGTGAGATAAGGTGGGATCAAACAAAAGGAGTCAATTTGTCCATCATTAATCCCCCAATTATATTTTTTAACTCATTAAGAGTCATATATTGATAACTTGTTACATGCCTTTCTCATTTGGATTTGCATACCATCTTATTCCTACCCAATAAGTCTATGGATTTTCATTAGTCATATCTAAGAATAAGTGTGGTTGTTAAGCTTTTTGTTGTTGGTTGTGGGGCTGGAACTCAGGGCCTGGTGCTGTTTGTTAGCCACTCTGTGCTTAAGGCTAGCGCTCTACCAGTTGAGCCACAGCACCACTTCTGGTTTTTGACTGGTTAAGAGTCTCATGGGGACTTTTATGCCCCAGCTGACTTTGAACCATTATCCTCAGATCTCAGCCTCCTGAGTAGCTAGGATTACAGGTGTGAGCTACCAGTGCCCAGCTGTGGTTGTTAAACTTTTTAACAAGCTCAAATAATAAGGAATTCTGAAGAAGGTTGAAAATTATTTTTAAGTGTTGCATAGTCAGCCTTAGTATGTCCTTTAAACATTTCTATATGTTGCTCAAGGTTAAAAAATTTTGTCCATAATACATTCTTTCGAAGAAATATTTGGCCTATTTGTTTTGGCTCCGGTCGTGGGGCCTGAACTCTGGGCCTGGGCGCTGTCCCTCAGCTCTTCAGCTCAAGGCTAGCACTCTACCACTTGAGCCACAGTGCCACTTTCGGCTTTTTTTTTTTCTGTTTGTTTATGTGGTGCTGAGGAATCGAACCCAGGGCCTCATGCATGCAAGGCAAGCACTCTACCACTGAGCCATCTTCCCAGCTGGCCTCTTTGTTTATTTAGCCAGTCCTGGGGCTTTTATTCAGGTCCTGGGTACTGTCCTTGAGCTTCTTTTGCTTACAGCTTGCGCTCTATTACTTGAGCCACGCGCCACTTCTGGCTTTTCTGAGGGATCGAATTCCAGGTTTCATGCATGCTAGGCAAACACTCTACCACTAAGCCACATTCCCAGCCCTTGCCCATTTATTAGTTTCTGAATGATGTCATTTAGTGAGTGATTTCAGTCCCGTAACATCCACATAGATTCTTTTGGTTTCCCCTTGTAAGAGAAAAATAATAGAAGGATGTGTCTAATAGAGGGATGTGGCTAAACATTTTTATCCTGGTCAGAATATTCAAGGTGCAGAATATATATATATATATATATATATATATATATATATATATATATACTGTTTTATATATGGATAAATTTCAAAGTAGTCTTCTCATTGCTAGGAATGATATGGGAATGCTACCACTAATACCAAGAAGAAGCACAGGTGAAACATTTTTGCCCTGAGTACTTTTCTTTCCATTCATTATTGAGCAACAAGTTTGTTAAAGCAGTTTTAGGAATGGCAGACGATGGAGTGTACAGTGTCCTTTTATTTAAGAACCCAGTGAAGCAATCAGATCTGTGTTTCCTATGTTCTTCACCCATCCTGTGCACTGCAGAGTTTGATAAGTGTATTCACTCTTTTCTTTCTAAAACAGAAAGGACTTTGACTTCGCTTTCGCAAACAATTGTAGGCTATATTGATGAACATAAAGTAAGCTTTCTTTCATCATTTAAAAATAGGTAATTTTGCCTTTCAGAGCATAATTTATAATAATTTTTCAAGGCAGATTCTTTTGAGTGATGATCACATGTAAAATATATGCTTACAAAATGTTTACAACAGTTCGATTAAACTTGGAGGTGGTGGATGAGGAAATAATTTTCCCCAGTAACTTTTATATGAAGATTGCTAGTAATGAGAGGAAGGGGAAAGCTTCTCTTAAGCTTGATTTCATTTCATAGTTTACTTAAAAACTATCTTGAAGTTTTGAATTATTAAATTTGGAAAGTATAAAACATTATCATATTATATTTTGTGGTTAGATTTTAATATAGTTCTCATGGCTTACATGAAACGTGTCTTTGGTAGATTCACAGGAATGTTTCTTTCTTGTTTTCTATTTTTTTTTTTTTGTCGGTCGTGGGGCTTGAACTCTGGGCCTGGGTGCTGTCCATCAGCTCTTCAGCTCAAGGCGAGCACTCTACCACTTGAGCTACAGCGCCACTTCTGGTTTTCTGGTGGTTTATTGGAGATAGGAGTCTCACGGTCTCTCCTGCCCGGGCTGGCTTTGAACTGCGATCCT